TAATTATTTTAAATCTTTTTAAAATAAATAAATAAAATCATGTTTTATTTTTCATTTACAGTTCACAACCCAGTGACCAGACATTAAATAACTTACAAAGTGGTCACCTCGATAAATCTGTAGCCATCTGACACCCTTCAGAGTTGTCACAGTATTACTGACTATGTTCCCTATACTGTACTTTACATCCCATGTCTATTCTGTAACTGCCAATTTGTACTTCTTCATCCCTTCATCTTTTTCACCCATCCCTCACCTGCCTCCTATCTAGCAACCATCAAAATGTTCTCTGTATCTATGAGTCTGTTTCAATTCTGGTTGTTTATTTTGTTTCTTAGATTCCACAAATAAGTGAAATCATATGGCATTTGTCTTTCTCTGTCTGACTTATTTTACTTAGAATAATACCCTCTAGGTCAGTGATGGCGAACCTTTTGAGCTCGGCGTGTCAGCATTTTGCAAAACCCTAACTTAACTCTGGTGCCGTGTCACATATAGAAATTTTTTGATATTTGCAACCATAGTAAAACAAAGATTTATATTTTTGATATTTATTTTATATATTTAAATGCCATTTAACAAAGAAAAATCAACCAAAAAAATGAGTTCGCGTGTCACCTCTGACACGCGTGTCATAGGTTTGCCATCACTGTATAACAGGATATTGTAAAAATTAAGTTACGGAATTTTTATTAAACGTTTCTTACATACCGTTATATTGGCTGGGCCGCAAAAATATGCACTGTGGGCCACATGCGGCCTGCCGGCCATGAGTTTGACATGCTTGTTGTATGTGCCCTGCCCGGGGATCAAACTCGCAATCTTTTGTATCGGGATGATGCTCAAACCAACTGAGCTACACAGCTAGGGCCATGAGTCTTAATGACTGCATAATTTTCTGAAGTAAGACTGAGCTTAAGTTTAATTAGTATTAAATTAAGTAATCAAACTGTGGTTGACTAGCAACTTATGACTTTTTAAAATTATTATAGCTAGGAATTCTAACAAGTCAGAAATGTTTATTATATTATTTATTTTGTGCCATTGTGCTGTCAAGTACAATAGAATGAAAACTTACTTTATAACATTCATTTGTTTTTCCCCAGGAACGATGCCAAAACTGTCAATGTTATAACAACTGCGTGTTTCTCTAAGGTCACCAAGGTGAGCATCTGTATGACTGTGTGAAGGCACTGTTTGTGAGTGGTCTGCTTCTCCATAGAGAGTAAAGGAGAATGGTATATGAGGAAGAGGGAGTATGTAGTTCATTTTACTGGTGCTCTGTGTATACGCCATTTCCTGCTTCATCAACCTGTGCTTTAGAAGAGTCAAAATTATCATGAAGGTTCCCCCCCCTTTTTTTTTCTCTTAATATATTTTTATTGATTTCAGAGAGGAAGGGAGAGGGCGAGAGAGATAGAAACATCAATGACGAGAGAGAATCATTGATTGGCTGCTTCCCGCAAGCCCCCCACTGGGGATTGAGCCCACAACCTGGGCATGTGCCCTTGATTGGAATCGAACCTGGGACCTTTCAGTTCACAGGACAACGCTCTTTCCACTGAGCCAAACCGGCTAGGGCTCCCCCTTTTTATTGAAATTATTGGGATGACACTGGTTAATAAAATTATGATGGTTTCAGGTGCACAATTCTACATATGAGTGATGTAAAATGCTATGTATTAAACAATAGTGTTGATTTTATGTTTTTCCTGTAATTGTTGACTATTTTATTGGGCTCAGACACAGCTGAAAGATAATTAAGGATATGTTTGACTTTCTATTAAAAGGACTGTAATGTCACTTTTTTGTAGGGGGGAAGTAGAAATTCTTTTTTTTTAATTGATATTTTTATTTTTAGCGCGAGAGAGAAACATTGATTTGTTGTTCCCCTTATTATGCATTCATTGGTTGAATTCTTGTATGTGCCCTGACCAAGAATCAAACCCACAACTGTCATGTATCAGGATGAGGCTCTAACCAACTGACCTACCAAGCCATGGCATGGAAATTCTTGACAGTCTACTTGAAGGATAACTATGTAGAGCCTAGGTATTTTTATCTAAGATTTTTTTTAATTATATATTTTTTAGGACAAGTAATGTTATAAAAGCATTATGTTTTAATTGAGAAAATGAGCTCAAATCCCATTTTTAATTTTCTTTAGATCCTTTTGTGTACACTTATATAAAGAGTAGACAGAAGTATTTATTCTTTGTTGTAAGATAGGATGAGTAATTTTTTGTTCTGATTGATCTTTAGATATTAGTTGCTGCTTTAACATTCTTCCTTGGGAAAGATGAAGAGGAAAAACAAGACAGCGACTCAGAATCGGAGGTTAGTTTAACCATAAATGCTTCTGAATTTTACAGCTTATGAGATTTCATTATTGCTTTCAGGGAAAATGGTAAAATCCACGACTGCTTACATTAGAAAGGAATTTACATGTTACATTTATCCTTTATTGAGTTCTGCCATGTGGAGATTTTATAGTTTAGAATTTGTCACTTAACTTTAGTAAGATTGGTTAAGTAACTAATAAAATTTAGATTCATTCACTCTTGTTATTAGTTATAAAACAGTTACTATACCTCACTATATAAACTTAGAATGAAAATTGCTGCAAACACATTTTTTTTTAAAATATATTTTATTGATTTTTCACAGAGAGGAAGGGAGAGGGATAGAGAGTTAGAAACATCAATGAGAGAGAAACATCGATCTGCACACTCCCCACTGGGAACGTGCCTGCAACCAAGGCACATGCCCTTAACCGGAATTGAACCTGGGACCCTTGAGTCCGCAGGCTGATGCTCTATCCACTGAGCCAAACCGGTTAGGGGATGATGCCAACACTTTGAGGTGAGTATTGACATCATAGAAGTTCAAAGTGGGGGAATGGAGAGGAGTAATATCATGGCATCTTTAAAAGGAAAAATCAAGATATATTATATGAAATTTTATTCATTAAAAAAATACTTTTAATTAAATTTAAAAGGAGAAAAATTTCCCTTCCTATTTTAGCATTTTAATAAGCATACTGGAATCCTATATAATAATAAAAGGCTAACATGCAAATTGTCCCCTCGGGAGTTTGACCGACTGGGAATTCAACCGCTCACTATGACGTGCGCTGACCACCAGGGGGCGGCGCGGAAGGAAGGAAGGAAGGCCCTGACCGGCAGCCAGCAGCCAGGAGAAGGAAGGCCCTGATCATCCCTGATCGTGGGCCTCTCTAGTCTATATACATAAAAGGCTAATATGCTAAGTGTCTGACCAGTTGCTATGGTGCCCACTGACCACCAGGGGGCAGCTCAACACAGGAGCTGCCATGACGCACACAGAGAAACCTCTGTGCCCACAAAGCAACACTCGGCTTCCCCCAAGTGGGACACAGGCCCTACCACCACCCCAGAGTGACACCCCACCAAATCGCAGCCAATGGTGCCGAGACTCCATGGCGCAAAATGCGGCCCACAGCCCAACCCAGTCTGGAAACGGTAGCTGTGGGCGCTGGGTAACCGTCATATAGCATTCCTGGCTTACTCTCCCTAGCCTCCTTGCATTTCTTCAGCCCCGGAACATGCCTTGCTTTATAGCCAGGTGCAAACATTTCACACTTTAACCAAATGTCTGTGAAGCATTTTCACGTGCCTCATCTCATTTGATCCTCACAGAAGTCCTGGAGTAGGTAGATAGGAGACTTGGTGGAATTCTATTTTCTTTTCGTTAACTGGAAAATGGAGATTTAGAAAGTTTAGAAACTTGACCCAACTGAAAAGAAGAAATGGTGGACCTTGAAAATGACTTCAGTTTTTCTCACTGTGCAGAATATAGTCAAACACTGCTACAGTTAAATATTTTACCCTTTGTTCTCCCTGCGTGAACTACAATAATAATTTGCTTCGTGTTGACATTTGCTGCTGTGTTGCTGACAATTACCTAAAATAAGTTGGGGTGCTTCACTGGGCTGGAAAAAGTTTAGCTACATCAGAAAGCAGGTCTAATTAAGCAGGTTTATTCTATACATATAAAACACTAAGTTGACTTGCGCATGGGCGATACATACAAAGCTCTCCCTGGCGCCAGTTGTATGTGTGTGTTTTGGAAGGCAGCTATGCTCACCACTATACCACCAACGCAATGTGTGTGTTTTGATCTGTCATTGTTGATCATGAATTTGGTTGACACTTCTATTATAGAGAAAGGGCGAATAGCGATATTAACATATTTCTTCTAATTAATTTTCTTTCAATGTGCACAAATTCGTGCACTGGGCCACTAGTATATAATAATATCTTGTAATTCATTTTATCTTATTAAATGGTGTATGAGTAATACATTTTTATTGTAAAAAGTTTCAGATACTATAGATAAAATAGAAATTTGCTTGACCCTGTGTTATTTGCACTTCCCCATCCCTTCTTCACAGATAACTACTTTGTTTCCCCTTGCAGTTATATATGTAGGTGTGTATATGATTGTCTTATATGCACAGTAGGTTTTTATTTTTTTATTTTATTTTTAAAATTTTTTATTGATTTCAGAGAGTAAGGGAGAGGAATACAGAGATAGAAGCATCAATGATGAGAGAGAATCATTGATTGGCTGCCTCCTATACACCCCATACTGGGGATTGAGCCCGCAATCCAGGCATGTGCCCTGACCGGGAATCGAACCGTGACCTCTTGGTTCATAGGTTGATGCTCAACCACTGAGCTATGCCAGCCAAGCCACAGTAGGTTTTTAAAATATGTAAATAATACACATATTATACTGCAGGTTGCTTTCTTTGTGTCAATATATACTTACCAATGCATTTAGAGCTTATTCTGTTAGTGTATGTAAATCTGCCCTATGCTTTTTTTTAAAAATTGTTGACACTATTACAGTGGTCCAACATTTACCCCTCCCCTTTGCCTGTTCCACTCAGCCCCCACCTCCCTGTCCCTCTGGCTATCACCATACTGTTGTCTATGTCTGTGGGTTATGAATCTGTGTTCTTTGGCTAATCTCTTCAACCTCCTTTCCAGTCCCCCCCCCACCTCCACCTCCACCCCCTTCTCCTCTGGCCTTTGTCAGTCTGTTCCATGTATCCATTCCTCTGTTTCTATTTTGTTCCTCTCTGCCATATGCTTTTACCCTACACATCATATTTCTGAATATAAATGTATTATACTTAAAAATTTTCCTGTTCATAAATATTTGTTTCCAGTTTGTTTTTCAAATTAGAGCAAAGTTGCAGTCTGTCAATATATTATACTTTAATAAAAATTAAAAGGAAAATTAAAAAAGAAGGATCTCTTATGCTTTGAGACATCATAGAGGGACCTGAAGAGTATTATGCTAAGTGAAATAAGTCAAAGAAAGACAAGTATCACATGATCTCACTCATATGTGGAATCTAACGAACAAAATAAACTGATGAACAAAATAGATCCAGAGACATAGAAGCATGGAACAGACTGATGAATCTCAGAGGGAAGGCAGGGGTGGGTGGGGAGAGATTAACCAAAAAACTTATATGCATATATGCATAACCCATGGACACAGGACAGTAGTGTGATGAAGTCTGGGCAGGGGAGAGGTACCGGGTGGAGGAGGTCAATGGGGAAAAAGAGGGACATCTGTAATACTTTCAACAATAAAGATAAATTTTAAAAATATTGATATTTTTAAAAAAAGAAAATACAAAGGTAAAAATCAATGCTGCAGTCAAAGTCTTTGTTTATGCCTGTTTGTGCACATGGGAAAATATTTTTTATTGACTTTTAGAAATCCTGTTCATTTTTAATGGCTGTGTTCAAAGTGTGTAAGTATGAAGAAGTGGTTGAAAGGATTACTCTTAGCTTCTATGCAGACTTTCCTTATTTACAGTTTTACAAAGTAGGTTTTTTTTTAGGATGAAGGACCAACAGCAAGAGACCTGCTAGTGCAGTATGCCACAGGGAAGAAAAGCTCCAAGCACAAGAAGAGGTTGGAAAAGGCTATGAAAGTGCTCAAGGTGAGATTTGTACCTGGGAAATGAGGTTAGGAATCATTAGAATGTAGAAAAGGTTTTTAGCAAACGCTTTTAAGAATTTGAAATAAAGCACATTTCTGAAAGACTTACTAGTAGAAATGTGTAATGAGTTTTTAAGCACTAATTTTGGGATGAATTTAATTTTCAGCTCTAGCAAAATCTGTGACTTGAATAAATTAGATTAAATTTACTTTTCACTTGTTCTGATTGAGATGACCTATATTAGGATATCTTTGGTAGGCATATCTTCTCAGAAGTTTACATGAATAAAATACATTTTATATTTTGTAATGATTATTCTGAGAATCATTAATTTGGCCCTTACGTGGTTAATTTTTATATTGCCAAATTCCTTTAAGTTTTACTAGTGAATCTTAAAAGACAAAAACCATCTATACTCTTTTTATGAAAGAAAGGTTTTTGGAACAAAGATTTTGTCTTCTTTTTAAACAGTGTGGTGGACTTGATGACAACTTTTAGCACATTAGCACATTTAACCCCAAGGGCCTCATTACTGTAATTCAGAAAGTAAATGTTTTTTCTTTCCCTTTGTTTCAGAAACAAAAGAAGAAGAAAAAACCAGAGGTGTTTAACTTTTCAGCTATTCACTTGATTCATGATCCTCAAGGTACTATAATTATGACTTTGCAATTTCTTATTGGCCTGATCTCTGCCTAGTTAGTTTCCTACCTTCAGAGTTACCAGGGAATATAAGATCCCTGGGGCTTAATAGACAATCAGTAAATACTTAGTTGTTACTAGTTGGTGGTAGCTGTTACTAGTTTATGTTCTGAAACAGTGATTCTCAGTCATAGCAAAATAAGAAAAACATGGAAGAACAGCTCTCTCTAAAATGTTTATTTTAACAACACAATAATGGTAGGACAACATTGTGCTTGACTAAATGAAAAATTGATGATCTTTTGTCCTTTTTTTAAAGAAAAAACAAAAAACTGGTCTGTGGAAACCAAAAGTTTGAGAAACCTTATTCTAGAATACCAGTTCTCAAACTGGAATGCAAATTGGACTCACTCAGAGAATTTGTAAACTATACTGGTGCTTGGGTCCTGTTATCCCCAGAGACTGATTAGTTGGTATTGGGTGCAGTTGGACATTGGGGCTTTTATTTTTATTTTTTTATTAGTATTGATTTCATAGAGGAAGGGAGAAGGAGAGAGAGACAGAAACATCAATGATGAGAGAGAATCATTGATCAGTTGCCTCCTACACACCCCACACTGGGGATTGAACCGGCAACCTGGGCATATGCCCTGACCAGGAATCAAACCATGATCTCCTGGTTCATAGGCCAGTGCTCAATCACTGAGCGACACTGGCTGGGTGACATTAGGGCTTTTAAATGCTCTGTACAGTAGTGTTTGCTGGCCCCTCCTCTAGGTCAGTGTTTCTCAAACTTTAAGGTGCATATAGATAGAATCACCTGGGGATCCTGTTAAAGTGCAGATTGATTCAGTAGGTCTGGCTTGGGACCTGAGATTCTGTATTTCTACAAAAGTACTGTGTGGACCAGCTGCTGGTGTTCTGTGGACCACATGTTGAGAAACTGAAGTTGAAGAACAACTGTTAAATGGAGCACCTATTAAACAGTCACTCAGCATGTTGATGCTTAAAACCTTGAGCATCCTTAAGACCTAACTTGCGGCATTATTGAAACTGTATTGCCCCGTGTGTGAATCTTTTCACCTTCTGTCATACTGCTGTTTATACCATCCTGGTTCAACAGAGTGATTTCAGGTACAGCCATACCAGAGTCGCTGATCTAACTCCTGCCTTTCTCTACATCTGTAAGATAATGTTGTACAGACCATGGACCCATAGTGTACTTTTCTGATACTTTCTTTTAGATTTTGCAGAAAAACTACTAAAGCAGCTAGAGAGCTCTAAGGAGAGGTTTGAAGTGAAGATGATGCTCATGAACCTCATTTCCAGATTGGTGGGAATTCACGAGGTTTGAATTACATTGTTTCTCTTGGTGGGTATTGGAAATAGAATTATTTTTGCTAAAAGAAAGCCTCTAAGGTAGTAGAGTGGCTTAATTTTATCCCCCAAATCATTTAAATTCATACAATTTAGAGAAGAATAAAATCTTTTACTCTGAAAATACTATTATTATAATTTTTTTTCTTATTAGTAAGTATAAATGTTAAATTGTATATATATTTATGGACAGGACATTTTGTGTTCTATTTTTCTTATTTTGTTTCACATACATTTTTCTGAGCCAACACAACCTACATATTTTTATTGCCTATTACTACATTTCACAGTTTATTCCTTCATAGCTTTCCTAAGTTCCAGACCCCTCTAGTAGGAGATTGTCATGTTTGCAAAGCTGAATTCTGTGCTCATTTATTTTATGTTAAGTTAGACTGCAAGAGCTCCTTGGTGATTATATAATATACGTATGGAAACTTCACACACACTCTTGGACCAAATGGCATTGTAGAAGAGATTCCCAAAAATTTAGGCCGTGAAGAAATGACCATTGAGGTTGTTCCCCATCATTTTGCTCTTGTGACTAGTGCTGCTATTCTGAAAATCATTGAATATGTTGCTTTCTTAAAGAAAAAGTTTAATGAATAAAGTAAAACAGGTTTGGCTTATTTACTGAAAATTAAACAGTATAGACATAGATCAACTTAAAAATGAAAGCACTCATTCTCTTTCTCTAAGAAAAACAACACTTTAGTGAATAAACTGATTTTTCTCTATGGTCTACAGATCTAAGGCAGGATTGCCAAGTCAATTCTTGATATATTTGTGTGGTAATTTTATGTCCAACCTGAATTTGAGCTTGATAACCAAAAGCGGTTTGTAATTTAAGCATGGTTGATGGAAATGATACAGAGTTTCACAACTGACTACAATTGGACATCCATCTTTATATTGAACCCAAACCTTCCCTGTTACTTTGGCCATGGTTTTGTTCTGTGGGTAAAATAGAAAAAATTAATTTATTTTCACATAATGAACTTTGATAAAGACTAGTCCATCTCCAAATTTCCTCTTCTTAAAGTTAAAAATTGCAACTGCTTGCCCTGGCCGGTGTGGCTCAGTTGGTTGGAGCATTGTCCTATACACCAAAAGGCGGCAGGTTCAATTTCCAGTCAGGGCACATACCCAGGTTGTTGGTTCAACCCCAGATGGGAGGCAACCGATGCATGTTTGTCACATCGATGTTTTTCTCCCTCCTTCTCTCTCTCTCCCCCTCTCCCTTTCTCTAAAATCAGTTTTAAAAATGGCAATTGCTTTAATAACAGGACCCATGTCACCTTGATTAGGTATACTCCAGAGTGGTAGTGTTTTTTTCTCTAAAATAGAGCTCTGAGTAATTCCTCCAAAGTGGTTGGTCTGGTATCTAATAATAAAACCAAAATTGTGGTGTTTTTGGTGATCAGATTATACTAGATGCTATTTAGATTTGAACTTAGTGATATAATTGGATTTGGAAAAGTGAACTTATAGTTTAGCTTTAGTTACAGAAATTTTAAAGTTTGCGTTTTTCCCCCCACAGCTTTTTCTTTTCAACTTCTATCCCTTTGTGCAAAGGTTTCTGCAGCCCCACCAAAGAGGTAAGTCGCACACTCATATGTTTCTTTGGTCATCTAGGTCATCTAGGGGTTAAAATAACCATCCAGAATTTTTTCTTCTGTAATTTGTAAAGATAAAGAGTTAGGAGTGAGATGTGTTGTTTCAGAGAAGGGGAGAGAAACTCATGTTTTCTTTCCAGAATCTTCCCTGGGTTAATTGTTCTGCTCATCAACTTTAAAAAATAATTATGGGTGGTGGGGGTGGAAAGACGAATGAATTGGTTTCTCAAAGCAAGTCTTTTTTTAAAGTAGTCCTTCATCTGCAGTTTTGCTTTTATAGCTTCAGTTACCCGAGGTCCAAAAAAAAATTTAAATGGAAAATTCCAGAAATAAACAGTTCATAAGTTTATATTGCACACCATTTTGAATAGCTCCTTCAAAAGTGTAACATTAACACAATGTAGCCAATTTCTTCCTTGAAACTTAGGGTGGTCACAAGGGAATAGAGTACTCAGATCCTGTATATGTCCAGGTGAAAATAAGAGTTTTAAGGAAAGAGGAAGCAAAATAAGGACAGTAGGGAGTGCTGGGGCAGGTTCTATTTTAGATTATGCGATTAGACATTTTGATAAGGCAGCAGTTGAGTAGGTGCTTGAAGGAAGCAAGGGGGCGGAGTGTTCATGTGGAGTAAGCAGCAGCGTTAGGGCCAGAATGTCCTTGCCATGTTTGCTATAGTTCAGAGAACAGCAGTAAACCCACTATGACCTTTCTAACCTCTTACATTTTTAGAAGTAACAAAGATCCTTCTGTTTGCTGCACAAGCATCTCATCACCTAGTACCCCCAGAGGTGAGAAGTCTTAAACCTTACTTTTGTCTGGATCTAGTGCATCGCAGTGTTACCATTAAGTATATCATGTGGCTTTTCCCACAGGGATTACTGTCCCTCCCACCCTTATTTATTTATTTATTTATTTTGAGTAGAAGCGACTTTAACTCTTAGGGAGATATATACAGAAGTTTACTTACAGAAATTGAAAAAAAATTTACTATAGGAAGTAAACTGTTTTGAACAAGTTGTTGAGAATTCTTATTTTAATTGCCAAGTTTTATGATGGGAGGTCAAGAATATGAGTTTGTCCTTACTTTTGGTTAAATGTGATTACTTTTCAAAGCTGATAATGCCTTTCTTTGATTTAAACGGTATTGGGATTGGATTATCCTGGGTTAAAGCAATTTCTTTAATCCATATTGAAAACTAACCTTAAAGGAGAGCAAAATTTAATCTGAAGTTCGCTACAGAGACAAAACCCAAAGTAGAGTATTTTTATCTGTCCTCCTCAGTCTTAATTCCGTCACACTCCCAAACTAAAGGTGGAATGCTGTTTCCTACTGTGAATAATCTGTTGTGCTTCATCCTCAAATATTTGAGTAGGTGCAGATATCTTACCAGCACTCTTCTTTTATTCCCAATTCAGGTCATTCAATCCTTGCTCATGACTGTGGCCAACAATTTTGTTACCGACAAGAACTCTGGGGAAGTCATGACAGTAGGGTATGTAGAATGTGGCTGGAGGCACTGGATGTTTTTAATGTACTAGGTTAGCTTTACATGACCAGGATGGAAGTTTCAGCTGGCAGTGTGGCCTCAAAATATACTTTAGTCTTCTCAGGAGGCTTGATATTTTTACTTTATTGGTTAGAATTTTGAGGAGGGAGTCAGATAAAAGATATTTATCTTTCTAATCAACATTTTGTTTTTTTACTAGCTTCACTTTTTCAAATGAATGATTGTTTGGCGATCAGCATTTTTCTCCTGTCTCTACCCTGATTTCATATCTTCCTCTGGAACAAATGATTTATTGTTGAATCACTCTTTAATTCCTAGACAGTTCAGTAGCCCTTTTGATTCATTTAAAAATGCTTAATGAGTGTGAGTACTGGTTTAACAATTATCTAATCTGTCCTGATAACTAAGCAGTATGTTGAGAGCTACTTTTTATGGACTTATAACAGCTCTAAAGATCTTTAGCTTTTCTTATTTGACCTAGTCCCGTTTACCCTTAGAGTTAGCAAGTGAATGCTACCATTATTTACTTTGTAAAGAAGATACTATTTCCTATACCACTGGTAGGGAAAATGGTAGTAAGCTCTCTGGAACAAAGCCCTCTAAGGCTGCCCACTCTCACATTCTCTCCTGTGTTGCAGTTTTAGAGACCTAAGCTCTATAAAACCGAACTTCTTCTATCCCTTTTTAGTCTTTTTAGGACACCTTCTTAAATTGAACCATATGAAATTGCTTTTTGGGTTCTTTTAAATGTTTTTTCCTTTTCTAGAATTAATGCTATAAAGGAGATAACAGCTCGATGTCCTCTAGCCATGACTGAAGAACTTCTCCAAGACCTGGCTCAGTATAAAACACACAAAGATAAGAGTAAGTTGCATATTAGTCTCTGTAGACCAAAGAATATAGGATGATTCATTTTTATCTCAAAAGACACTTAGCTCTGGAGTTTCTAAATTAAAGGTATTATTTTACAGATGTAATGATGTCTGCTAGAACTTTGATTCAGCTCTTCCGAACACTGAATCCTCAGATGTTACAGAAGAAATTCCGGGTAGGTGAAGCGTGCATATGTTGATCTAAAGGTATGGTCTCAGAAGGTGAGAGTGATCCTACAGTTTGAGTTTAAGTGTTTGTGAGGCTTACATTATGAGTATTGGTGATATGCCTGGTTTATTCTTTAAGCTCAGAATACAATTGATTGAATACCATTGCCTTAAATATTTGAGGACAACTGAGTCTTATAGATCAGTCAGGCTGTTTAATCAGTAATCGATTGGAATCCCAAAGATTAATCAGTAGCTGATGCCAGTATTGAATGGGCAATCCCCAGACAGATACCACCTCTTTGGAGTTGCAAGGGAAGAGAGATGGGTGTATGTGACAGAAAAAGAGATGGTGATCTCAAGACTTAAGAATCAGAAAGGAGCCCTGGCCAGTGTTGCTAAGTGGTTAGAGCAGCCGTGGGCAAACTACGGCCCGCGGGCCGGATCCAGCCCGTTTGAAATGAATAAAACTAAAAAAAAAAAAAGACCGTACCCTTTTATGTAATGACTAGGGGCCCGGTGCACGAAATTC